GCTATCATTGTTTCTAGTATGTGATCCCTGACTGATTCAGATCACTCAAGGAGGCAGGAGAGAAGAGAAAATGACTGCCAACAACAACAAAGAGGAAACAGCAAGAAAACAGGGCCCGAAAAAAAAATTGCAAACAGCCATAAAGAGAGGATGATCAAATGGTTTGTGGGAGGCCATTTTTCCTAAACTCTCTACTTTAGAGGGGAGCGGGGAAAAAGACATCAATTCTATCACATATCTGTCTCAGTCCTTGGAGTGGCTTTGACTTGCTTTCAAAGATTGCCAAACCTCAAACAAGGGATTGCATGTGGGGATCCAGATGAGGTCACCTGTTCATAGCTTCATTTCTAGCGGGTGAGATGAAGTACAATACGTTTTGATTGGTAGGTCTCATAGCACTTTGCACACTGTTTATATAAAGGTACATGGTGTGCGTTTTCCTGCAAATAACAGAATAACAGAGTAGGAAGGGATCTTGGAGACAAATGGCTTGTCCAATCTCTTCTGAAAAACTTCCAGTGTTGGAGCATCTACAACTTCTGGAGGCAAGCTGTTCCACTGGTTGATTGTTCTCATTGTCAGAAAATTTCTCTTTAGTTCTAGGTTACTTCTCTCCTTGATTAGTTTCCATCCGTTCCTTCTTGTCCTACCCTCAGGTGCTTTGGAGAATAGGTTGATCCCCTATTCTTTGGGGCAGCCCTTTAGATATTGGAACATAACTATCATGGCATTGTGAAGGATTTGGGGCCAGTCCTAGAGGTGGTATTCAGCCGGTTCAGACCGGTTCACCCGAACCGGTCGCAGAAATCATGGGTGGGCCTGCCCACCCACCCCGGCTCTATGCCATTCTATTTAGGCATGTTTTTAGGCTGGCCGCATGCGTGGAAGGCACCCATGCCAGCAAAGAGCATGCACAGAAGGCTAGGCATGGAAGGCGCACATCCTCACAACCGGTAGGCCAGGCCCCATATCACTCCCTGGCTCTGTAACATATATATATATATATATCGAGATACGCATAATACCAGACCTCCGGACTTTTCATCGGGCCCTGAAAACACATCTATTCCATCTGGCCGGGCTGGCCTGACCCCATCCTTACGGTTTTAAATTTATAATTGGTTTTAATTGGGTTATTTTAAATTGATGGCCAAAAGTATTTAATGTTTTTTAAATTGTTTTTAAATTTTATATGTTATGTTTTTACCATGGCTGTTCACCGCCCTGAGTTCTATTGGAGAAGGGCGGTATACAAATTTAATAATAATAATAATAATAATAATAATAATAATAATAATAATAATAATAATAATAATAAACAACATATGCTTGTGAGACTATACAATGCTGCAAACATAGGGTTAGGAGCTGTGGTGGCCCAGTGGTTAGAAGGCAGTACTGCAGGCTACTTCTGCTGACTGCTGGCTGACTGCAATTTGGCAGTTTGGAGCTCACCAGGTTCAAGGTTGACTTAGCCTTCCATCCAGGGGTGAAATCCAGCAGGTTCTGACAGGTTCTGGAGAACCGGTAGTGGAGATTTTGAGTAGTTCAGAGAACCGGCAAATACCACCTCTGGCTGGTCCCAGAGTGGAATGGGAATGGAGATTTTGCAATATCCTTCCCCCAGGAATGGGGTAGGAATGGAGATTTTGCAGTATCCTTCCCCTGCCACACCCACAAAGCCACGCCCACAAAGCCACACCACGCCCACAAAGCCACGCCCACAGAACCGGTAGTAAAATAATTTGAATTCCACCACTGCTTCCATCTTTCCGAGGTCGGTAAAATGAGGACACAGATTGTTGGTAGCAATATGCTGACTCTGTAAACCACTTAGGGAGGGCTGTAAAAGCACTGTGAAGCGGTATATAAGTCTACGTGCTATTGCTAAAGTATGGTCAGTATTGTAGGCTACCCAGTTGATTAGCACTCTTGATGAATCAAAGGATTGTCACTTCTGAGTCCTTCATGGAGGAAGGGTATATCCAGGAAGGAGGACAGGAGCTTTTCTCCTCTTCTATGAATTTCCTTGATGGAAGAATGATACTCATTTGAGTTCTCTTTAATCTTCTCTTCAGCTTCTGCACTAGGAGAGGACCAACCTAGAACTAAGGAGATATTTCTTGACAATGAGAAGAATTAACCAGTGGAATGGCTTGTCTTCAGAAGTTGTGGATGCTACATCACTGGAGGTTTTTAAAAAGAGATTGGTCAAGCCATTTGTCTAGAAAGGTACAGAGTCTCCTACTTCTGCAGGGGGTTGGACTAGAAGACCTCCAAGGTCCCTTCCAACTCTGTTATTCTGCTATACTGAGGGACCATCTCTTGCCGGTCACATCCACCTGTCCCATGAGAGTGGGGAGGCAGGGAATGTTGCGGGTCCCATCCCCGAGGGAGATACACCTGATGGGATCCAGAAGAAGGGCCTCCTCTGTGGTGGCTCCCTCTCTCTGGAACATCATTTCCCCAGAGATTAGAATGGCCCCCACTCTGATACTCTTCTGGAAGGCGCTGAAGACCTGGTTCTGTCAGCGGGCCTGGGAAACCCAGAGCGGGATGGAGCCCATTAAATGGCTCATGTGATCTGCTGTCGCCAGAGTGGGGGACGGGAAGTGGGGGGTGATTTTGTTATATTGTACTATATTATTTGATTCTTTTTGCTAGTTTTTATTGTTTTAAACATGGTCTTATATTCTGTAAGCCGCCTTAAGTGGCCATGAGAGAATAGGCGGCAGTATAAATTCAATAAACAAACAAACAAACAAACAAAAACAAACAAATAAATATTCTGTTAAATCTGGGAACTAAAGAGGAAATCTCCCATTTCAAAAGTCAGCCCAGCTTGAAGGAACAAGGAAAGACTGGTTTCAGGTTGCATATAATTATCTTTTGCAGGCTCAGTCAGGCATCATAACTTACTCAGTTTTTTTCTCCATCATGTCATATTTGGTGAGCTATTCTAGGTCAAGAGTGATCGCTGGCCTATCAAAGAAACCAAAACCCAGCTCTCAACTTCTTAAATTATAACTAGCATATTTTTTTTATTTGTTTGTTTGATTGTTTGATTGATTGATTATTTTTTTAAAAAATGAATCAGCAATAGAAAAATCAGAGAATCCAAGGTTTGGAAGGGACCTTGGGGGAATCTTATAGACAAAACCTGCTGGATTCTTCAGACTGTCTCAAACAGCCTGAGTGGCGTAGGAGGCTAATGCCTCCTACTAAGGCAGCATTTAACATCCAGCTGCCTGCAATTACTGCGAGTTCAATTCTCACCAGGCTCAAGGTCGACTCAGCCTTCCATCCTTTCTAAGGTGGGTAAAATGAGGACCCGGTTTGTGGGGGCCATAAGCTGACTTTGTATAAAATATACAAAAGTATGAAGGCTATTGCTTAACGCATTGTAAGCCGCCCTGAGTCTCCGGAGAAGGGCGGCATATAAAAATAAATAAAAATAAAAGAAATAAAAAATAAACAAAAGGCTGTCTAACCTATTTTTAAAACCCTCCAGTATTGGAGTCCACACATTTCCACATTTAGCTCTTATGATTAGGAAACTTTCAAACGAACATCTTCCTCTATAAAGCTGCTACCTATTGGGTTGTGTCCAATGGTGGGATTCAGCCGGTTCAGGCCGGTTCAAGCGAACCAGTTGTTAAATTGCTGGCTGGCCCCTCCCTGCCCCTTCCAGGAGTTCCCATGTGCCCTATTTTTTTTTCCCAAGGGGTACAGGAGGCCGAGTGCTGCCTATCACACCCCCTGACCACACCCACCCAGCCGGTCACTAGGGCAGAGAACCGGTTTTTAAATTATTTGAATCCCACCACTGGTTGTGTCTTATACTTGAGAGCTACAAAAAATAAATCCACACCATCTTTCCAAGGCCAGTCCTTAAGTTATTGGGAAACTACTATCATGTCTCTCTTCAGCCTTCTCTTCTTAAGGTTAAACCTGCCCAATTCTTTTAACCAATTCTTTTAGGATTTATCCCTAATCCTCCTCACCATCTTCTACATAATATTAGCTGGATCCAGACTCAGTAACATTAGAGCAAACCTGCTGAAACCAAGAGGAGAGAAGTGAGTCCCCACTAACTGTGACACTCTACCTGATCCTGTTGTTAGTCTTGCTAATCCCCATACCTTTTACCTTAAACTGTCTACTGTGGACTTTTCATGTTTCTTAAGAGGTCCCTAAGGGGGCGTACATAAGCACACCAGCGTGCCTACCGTCCCTGTCCTACTGTCCCCATTTATATGTCATCATTCTATGTGTCTATGGGTATGTTTTGTGTATTTATAGCCTTTTATTTGTGCCAATGTTTTTCATGTGTCCATGTCTATGTCTATACTGTTACTTGTTTCCTTTTGCTTGTTGACAAATAAATAAATAAATAAAATAAAATAAATAAATAAATAATAACAAATGTCCCACTGTTTTCAGTGAGTCGACCCCAAATGCGAATTGGTTTGGGTTCAACAACTTCTGCTTAAGGCTTATGTCCACCCAGATGTGCTATTGAACATCCTGCTGGCTCTGTAAGTCTCATCCAGAATGTTAGGAACATTTTTCCAGGCATTAAAAGCTAGAAGCATATTGCTTTTAAACAAAGCTGACATGTTTTAGAAGTAGGATTATATGCTTGGCCAATGCCACACACAACTGGCATTCTTAAGCAACCCCATGGAATCACAGTATAACAAATTATGCAGTTGTTTTTGGACCGAACGAAAGGACAAACTGACGATGGCCCTCCCTTCCCCAAAATTAAGCCCTCCCCAGCTCCCCTTTCATCTGCCAACCATTACTATTAACCATGTTGATATCCTTTTATCATGACAGGCAAATGCTGAACAGAGCACACGCAATCTAACCTCCCCACTCAGGGAAGCCAGAAAGGCAGGGAGAGAAACCCCAGAGTACCGATAAATATTATGAAGGGAAACTTGCATGTGGAAATGCTGAAGAGTGTCTTTTCAATATTCTGTTTTGCATCCGACGGCTTGATGTTGTTTTAATGAGTTTCAGTTCTTGCACCCCGCCCGGCCTCGCCCCCCGATTCTAACAGAAAGAAGACATGAGAGAAGGGGCTGGAAACAAAGACCAGGAAGTAGCATTAACCAAAACATTCTGGCACCGACATTCTACCAGTCGTGTCTCTCAGCTGTTCCCTCCAGTTGACAAGTCCTTTTTCATTCTGATAGAAGCAAAATTAGATGCCGCCATCGCATCTGCCCCCTACCCCTTTTTCCAAGTAAAGAATGTCACTGCTGGGAGTTTAAAAGGGCTGCCTGCAACGTAGTCTCTTCCCATCATGGCAAAATGTGATATTAATGTCATTCCGTTTGTATTAAAAATTTGCTTTCAACCCCAGGCTTCCTGTTCACAGTCACGATGCCAAACTTCAAAGGGCAGAAGCAACGGCCCGTCTTTGAGTTAACTTCCCTGTTGCCAGAGATCCTCACCTGAGGGACATCAAGAGGATGAAGTCAACCTGTCTCTTGGTTGACAGCTCTGTGGATTTGACTCAACGTCACTCAGGCAGGGCCAAACCATCTGCAGGCAAAAATCAGACACCGGGGACCTTCCATTCACCTCTGTATGCCAAGAGTTTAGCACCCAGCATATTGAGGTTCACATCATCAGGGCAATCAAAAAACAGATTGTTGAATGGATGGAAGGAGACAGGCCAAGTGATGGAGAAACGTTCCAGAGGACGACGTGCTGTTTTCCTCCCTGAAGTTTTGTAACAGCTGCCACACTGACATCACCTTGGAAAAAATGAGATGAGGCAAATCAAGGGGTCCTATTTAAGAGAAATCTGCCCCTCCTTCTGCATTTTTGATGGATTGTTAGTCAGAAACACAATGTCACTGCTTATAATGAGGCATTAAATAACAATCACAGCAAATTCTTGCTTTGGTGCCTCTAAGGACTACAAGCCAGCAGGAATAGCTCCTTCCCTTTATCCTCACAATGAGCCTATGATGTAATTCATCCAGGAAACAGGTGCTTGCCATCACCCAGTCAGAACTTTCCATTCTTGGCCAATCGTTGAGCCCTGAGATGTCTCAGTCCAATGCTCATTTGCCAATCCAGAATGGAGAGTTTCATTCCACCCATAAAATCTGGGAGACAAGATAAATCAGGGATGTGACAGCACAATATACCCAAGGATGGTTGTTCCTCAGATTATACTAGCTGCTTGTAAATTTACAATCATTGTTGATGAAAACCTCTAGGTTGCTAGAAGGAGGAGCTGGGGATGGGTGCCACATGATCCCCAGGGAAGGTTTCAACTCCTCTCTAGAAGTGACCCGTGTTCAACATTTTACCTGCTTGACAGACAACCAGGGGTGGGCTGCTGGGGGTTCGCAGGGGTTCGGAAGAACCTCTAGGTAAGATTTTGTGCAGTTGGAAAACCCCCAAATCCCACTCCTGGCTGGCCCCACCCACCCCGCCTCTCCCAGAAGTCCCTACACTGCCTTTTTTGGATGCAGGTAAGTGCAGGGCACACACAGAGGCTCAGGGAAGATGAAAAATGGGCCTACCGGAAGTTCGGGAAGGCCGGAAACGCTGTTTTCGCCCTCCCAGAGGCTCAAGGAAAACCTCTGGAGCCCGGGGAGGGCAAAATGTTCCCCCTCACTGTGATGCAGGAGGCCGACTAGGCCACGCCCACCATGGCCACGCCTACCCTGCAACCAGGCAGATTACCCCTTGGTAAAATTTTTGAAGCCCATCCCTGCAGACAACTATTTTGCGGGAAAGCTTTCCTGAATCGGAATTACAGTAGATGAGCAAGGCTCTGAAACATGGGGTGGCTGTTCGGCTACGAAGGACAATTAAATAAACTTAATTACATAGAAGAGCAGACAAACATGCATTGCAATCAAATTCTTCAGTTCAAAAAATTAGCATCCACAATTTAAACTGATAACGCTCTCAAAAACCTAGTCATTTAGAAGGATTGATGGAAGGAGGATACAGGGGTGAATTGGAGAGGACCTAAACCCCAGGATGGAGAACAGAGTCAGAAAAACTTTTCCACAAACTACCACACTAATGGTCCAGGTGAGTCACCACTGAGATATGAGTGAACTGCTTAAATGTTTGAATAAGAAGAAATGAATGAATTCTCCAGATATTGAGAAGATGGCAGTTACTGTTGTTTAATGATGAAAGTCACTTTTTCCGTTAAGAAGAACTCCCAGATCCTGGAACCGCAGAAGACACCTGAAGATGGCAGTTCTGACAAGCAAAATTAATAGGAGAAAAGACAGTCAAACAGGTGCGAAGCAATGCATTCCGTTTTATCCAGATTTAATTTAAAGTGGTAGGAACATATTACTGGAAATCCCAGTTGGGGCACCACTGGAAAGCAAAACCAAACCACATTACATGGGCCTGCTGAATTTTTCTGAGAATTGCCAGTGGTATTCATAAGATCACTTAACTGAAAAGAAGAAATCAGAGAACCTAGCAACTAATTATTCAAAAGGAACTTTTTGTTTTAGGACTGGATCCTGGAAAACATCTAAAGATCAGAGGTGGTATTCAGCCAGTTCGGACTGGTTCGCCCAAATCGGTAGCGGCAACCTGGCGCAATCCTGTCCTATATCACTGTCCTTTTGACATGTGTAGATGGTGCACGTGAGCGAATTGCCATGTTGTTTGACGTCGTACACATGTGCGAATGGCATGTGCAGGCAAATTGCAATGTTTTGTGATGCTGCGTGCATGCATGGATGGCGCGCGCAAGCAAAGCAAGCATGCGCACGCATTCACAATTCCGGTGCTGGGCGAACCGGTTGCTACAATATGTGAATCCCTCCTCTGCTACAAATAAATGAGGTCGAGGGCTGAGGCAAAGACTCTTTCACTTAATCAGAAATGTGGGTTGGACTTATTATATTCAATCAGAAGACAAGTGATAAGAGTTATGGTTCAACTCTTATCGAAAATCTTTTGAACAACAAGTGCTGCAGAGATGTTTATATCAGAGACCTATGACTTTGGAGAGTGAGATGCAATTGCTGGGAAAGATCCCAGTTATAATTAATAATAATAACTTTATTGTCATTGTACGTGTATACACAGTATACCCATACAACGAAATTCACTTAACACCCAAAGACCAGGTCCACCACACATAACAATCCCCAAACACACTCCCACCCACCACAATTCCCCACCCCTAAACCACCCAAACATCCACACAACAGACCAAGTAATGCTGTCCAACAGATCACTCATGGTGGCCCTTTAGTTCATTGTTGAGTGCAATTATAGCTCTGGGATAAAAACTATTCAGAAGACATGTGGTCCGACTTTTAATTGTTCTGTATCTTCTGCCAGAAGGCAACAGTCCAAAAAGATTGTAAGCAGAATGGGAAGAATCTCTGAGAATGTTATGCAACTTCCGCAAACAGCGAGATTCGAAGATGTCATCCAGGGCTGGTAGCTGGAGTCTGATAATATTCTGGGCAGTTTTAATGATTCTCTGTAGAGCCTTTTTGTTGGCTACAGAGCTGCTCCCATACCATGCAAGAATGCCGTATGTGAGGACACTCTCAATGGCGCTGCAATAATAGGACAGAAATAGATGCTGAAATAGATTTATCTTCCTGAGCATTCTCGGGAAGTACAGCCTCTTCTGTGCCTTCTTCACAAGCATGTTAACATCCATAGTCCATGAGAGGTCCTTCGAGATATAAAGAAATTTAAAACTACCCACCCTCTCCACCTCCTCACCATTTATGTACAATGGTAAATGTACATCTCTCTTCCTCCTGAAGTCAGTTATAAGTTCTTTAGTTTTTTTGGTGTTAAGCATAAGATTATTTTCTTTTCACCACAATGTCAGCCCCTATACTTCCTTCCTGTAAGCAGACTCATTGTTCTTATTAATGAGTCCAACCACTGTTGTGTCATCCGCAAATTTAATAATTGAGTTGGTGTTATACAACGGGGTGCAGTCATGTGTGTACAAGGAATAAAGGAAAGGGCTTAGCACACAACCTTGGGGGGAGCTCCTGTGCTTAGTATCAGAGTAGAGCAATGGTGAGACCCCATCCTTACTGACTGTGGCCTATCTATTTTAAGGAAGAGTTTTATTGTTAAGAATCAATTGAAGATATTTGATCCTGGATAGATCAGAATTAATGAATGCTTCTGCATGTGAAACACAATAAAAGATTGTTAGCAGAGGGTTTTGACTTCTGTTATTGGGTTTATCTGTTAGCTGTATTTATTTATTTATTTATTTACAGTAAATAGATGGTAGATCAAAATAGTTGGGTAAATAGAGCTGTAGAACTTTATAAATTGTGGATTTGTTTTGCAAGGGGGAGAAACTATTATCGTTGAAATATGTTAATCGGTGTTTGATTGGGGAACAATATATGCATATGCTTTTAATGAACTTTTTTTGGTCTTGTTTTTGAACTTGTTTAGTTTTTCCTGCTTTGTGGTTGCTTCCCTTTTTGCTGTTGTTGAATTTTGTATTTTAACACTGCAAATAAAATAAAATAAAATTCTCAAAAATAATGTGGGTTGGGACATGTAGGAATGAAACCAATTATGAACGGTGCTGTGGATGCATTATGAATGCAAAGGAGATAGTAAGGGTATCAAATGTTACAGGGAGATGTTGAAGATCGATGGTTTGCCTTAGTCATTAGCAAATTGCTGACAATACAAAGCCAGGGCCAACTCAGTGGAATAATAGAACAAGAGAAGGGACCATAGAGGTCTTCTAGTCCAATCTCCTGCTTAAGCAGGAGACCCTACATCATTTCGGACAAATGGCTGCCCAGTCTCTTTTTGGAAACCTCCAGTGATGGAGCACCCACAACTTCTGAAGGCAAGCTGTTGATTGTTCTTACTGTCAGAAAGTTCCTCCTTATGTACATGTTCCTTCTCTCCTTGGTTAGTTTCCATCCATTGTTTCTTGACTTGCTTTCTATGCTTTGGAAAATAGATTGCTCTCGTTTTTCTTTGTGGCTGCCCCTCAAATATTGGAACCCTGCTATCATGTCACCCCTAATCCTTCTTTTCACTAGACTAGACATACCCAATTCCTGCAACCGTTATTTATATAGCCTCCCATCGACCAGCACGCTCCCACAGAGAGGGTCTCCTCAGGGTGCCGTTGATTAGACAGTGTCGACTGGCGACCCCCAGGGGGAGAGCCTTCTCTGTGGGGGCATTTTTCTTGCCTAAGTGTAAAACTTTATTTTTGTCTACATTGAATTTCATTTTGTTAGCTAGATTGACCTGCCTTCCGCTTGAAATGAGTCAGTGAGGTTACTTGCTGAAAGGAAAGGGGGAATGGAAAAAGGGCAGTTTACTTGATAATGTTATACAAAAATGAACGAAAAGACCCTGAAGGAAAGATAAAACTAACAGAAGCGTCTAATGATTCCTTTTTTAAAAAAGGTGGAGATAAATGTACTTCAGACAGAACAATTAACCAACTTAGTTAAGATGCCAGAAAAGGAGGATAAAGGAGTATGAAGAAGGGAAGGGGGAAAGACACAAAATATGGGAAGCGTCTAAACCACTTAGCTGCTACTTCTTCAATAACAGGAGATGATGATGAAAACAAGCAGCTAGGAGTAATAAGGACAGCACATTAGCTCTGCTTAGGCCATGAAGCCTGAAGCATTTTAACTTAGCCAACAAATATCTTCCCAAATCATTGGATCTAAATGAAGAAGAGGCTTCAGTTGTCCCCTGTGGCAAGGATAAAGGTAAAGGAGACTGGAATAGCAAGAAAAACCCGCCAAGTGGGCTTGGCCTCAATGGAAATGAAAGTTTGAGAATAATATTGCAAAGTTTGTTGCAGGATTCCACTCTGCAAGTCTTAATGTAACAGCGCCAAAAAAAGGATACAAGTAGGGGAATCATCTTCTTCTTCTTCTTCTTCTTCTTCTTCTTCTTCTTCTTCTTCTTCTTCTTCTTCTTCTTCTTCTTCTTCTTCTTCTCTTTCTCCTTCTCCTTCTCCTTCTCCTTCTTCTTCCTCTCCTCCTCTTCCTCCTCCTCCTCCTCTTCTTCTTCTTCCTCTCCTCCTCCTCTTCCTCCTCCTCTTCCTTCCTTCTTTCCATCTCCTCTTCTTCCTCCTCTGTTTTCTTCCTCTTCCTCTTTCCTCATTGTTCTCCTCTTCTTCTTCCTCCTCTCCTTTTCCTTCTCCTTCTCCTTCTCCTCTTCTCCTCTTTATGCCTCCTCTTCTTCTTCCTCCTCTTTCCTCCTCTTCCTCCTCTTCTTCCTCCTCTTTACTCATTCTCCTCTTCTTCCTCCTCCTCCTCCTCCTCCTCCTCTTCCCAAGTTAACAAAGTCCAATATTCAGAGTATCAACTAATTATATATTTATTTAAATTTAGAATAGCCATCCCCTTCCAAATTACTTGTAACATGGAAGGTATTAGAGGTACCAATCACTGCAGTGGGGAAAACCCCCCATGCCGTTTTGGACAATAGTTAACCAAAGATCTGACTTTAATCCGCAGAATGATGGGAGAATCCTATTTTTTAATCCTTTAATTCTGTTATTTTTCAAGGACTTTCTCTGCTATAGGTAAAATTAATCTAACCTGAGCTATTTTCCCTATGAAGAAAAGCAACTGGAAGGAGG